TGTGCAGAAAAACCAGAATTCAAACCTCAATGAACTCAAGCCAATTTTGAAATGAAGTGACGGTAAAATTATCCCAGAAAGATCAGAGAAACTGAGAAAGTAATGTAAAAAAAAAATAACTACTTGAGTATCTTTGAACTCAACTCTATTTCTGACATTTTGAATGGAAAAAGCTTTATGTGGAACTACTTGAGTTAAATCCCGGGTTGTTCCATTAGGCTTTCTCTGTTTCATTTTAATAACCTCAGTGGAGAAGCTGACGTCTGTTTCTGCCTGTTTCAGGTTAGATTTACAGAATTTTGGCTCCTGGTACGAACCAGCTCATTATTCTTGATGAATAAAACCCTTAACTAAGAAGAACTGACACCTGCTCATGTTGATCTATCTATAGAAATGAGCAAAACACAGTCACATGGTGTTTCATCCACATGCCTTTAAAAATGGGACATGTTTCATTTTTTTTTTACAAATACTTTTAGTTTTATATCTGTATAAACAAATAAAATGAGATTTAAAATCCCACCTGACATGTGTGACTCTGCGGGAGTAATGCAACAGCAGCGATTCATTTTTAGCCCCGCCCCCTAATGGCCGACATCTTCGGAAACTATAGGCTCAGACCTTTCCAAGGAGGGGTCAGAGGTCATTGTGTGACAATTTAAGGTGATGTAACCGGCATGCGTTACATAAGTTTGCTCTGTTATTCTTATTTTCCATCAGTTTGTTGATATTATTTGTAAAATTAAATGAAATAACGGCTAAATCTTAGGAGCAAAGGTTTTTTTCTCATGCAGAAAGTCTCCAATAATGGAAATCAGCATATTTATCTGTCCAGATTCTCTTTTATGAGTGTAAAATGATTTTTTGGCACAACTTGGCCACTTTTGGCACCACTGTGCCAAAGTCCCATTTCCTGCTAGCACACTGTTCACTAAAACCTCTGTGGAACAAACATGCTTCAACTTATTCAGTCCAGTTTAGCTTGAGTTACAGTCAAGATGTAGATCTATAAAGTCTGATGTTTTCCAATGGGATATTTATGTTGTTGTTTTTGCAGTGTTTATTTTGGAAATAACTTTGTTTAATCACCTCTAAATCAGACATGGTGCCATTTAAAATAGTGGTTCAACCTGAAAAATATTCCTCAATGCTTTTCAGTCATACAAATACAAATTATTGTAATTCCAATTTATAGTTTGGGGGCTGAACTTACTTTAATTAACATATAATTTCAGGTGGAATTTGCTCCTAAGACCCTCTGGGATAAGGGGTTAATACGTAGATGTTGTTGTTACAGAGCTTTGATCTGTTCCAGTTGGTTTCGGTTGCTGTTGAAGATGTTTTGCATAAACTGAATGTAACTTCTCACGCCAAGCAAAGTATGTCCTTAATTATAATGCTGCCACTTTGAAATTCTTCATTTAGACTTCCTTTAAAACTAAGGTTTAAGGTAAAGGTTTTTCAGAGATTTAAACTGATGTCTTAGAAATTCAGATTCCTCCATTAAAGAGAAACCTGCTCTGAGGACAGTGGATAAACCACAGAGAGCGTCTAAAGATGAGACCATAAATGGTGTTTTAGTGAAACTCTGTTCTTCTCTCTGATGAAGCGACGCTTTCTGTCTTAAAGCTCTCTGCCTGAGTGTTTTCTCTCTCCGCGGTTCTCAGAAGCACTCAGGTCTAAACCCTTGGCGCAGCAGAGGTTTTAATAATAGTTTCATGTTTCCATTAAACTCCAAATATTCAATAAGAAGCTTGTTTGTTCTGTTAGCTTTCCACAGAATCCTGCAACTGCTCCACATGTTTCTAACCTTAGCAGATCTGCATCCCTCCGTATGTTTGTTCTTTGCTCATTAATGCGGTGAAGTTTCCTCTGAGCTCCACATCATGTGTGTCTTTCACCAGGCGTGACGTGGGGGAAGGTGGTCTCCTTGTACGCTGTGGCGGGAGCTCTGGCGGTGGACTGCGTACGCCATGGTCATCCAGCTATGGTCCACACCATCGTCGACTGCATGGGGGAGTTCGTCCGCAAGAGTCTGACTCCATGGTTGAAGAAGAGAGGCGGCTGGGTAAGGAAAAACATTTAATTCACCCGTTCACTCCAGATGCACTTCAGGAGAACCATGCTAGTGCAGTTTATTAATTAAAGTTGGTGGAAGCAGGAAATTCCAAAATACCAGACAGAGTTGGATATTTAAAGCTTTGCATACGCCTCTTATTGCACAACTTACCTCCAGATATCCCAGTTTGCATAATAATAATCGAACTTTATTAATCTCACATTGGAGAAATTCACTCTCTGTATTTAACCCATCCCATTGGGGAGCAGTGGGCTACCATAGTGCGGCGCCCGGGGAGCAGGGTGGGGTTAAGGGTCCCGTCACACCTTATGATTGAGCCACCGTACGCCTGACGTCTCAGAAGCTCCTAAAACGCAGGCATACGCTGAACTATCTGTGTATTATTTCAATTTTGGGTGCATAAATAGAATAACTTATGCATAACGCACAGAACTGCCTCATTTCATGTGTATTACGCAGCATCAGTTAAAGCTGCTCCCCTCATGATGCCGCCCGCCCCCCAAAAAAAATACAAAAAAGAAAAGAGAAAGAAATAAAGAAGGTTTTTGGTGGCAGCAGATTGAGCATCATGTCTGCAAGGAAGGATGCTTGGATAATAAAGGTACAGATTTAAGTTACTCTGGAATGTGGAAAAGATTTGCTGCATGCTGGGATTTCAAAATAGAATCTATGAAGAACTCTTTCAGGTGTTAGGGTCCTGTCACACCTTGCAGATTTATGCTGCGTATACCTGACGTCCCAGAATCTCCTGAAACGCTGGCATAAGCTGAACTTTCTATTTATTTTTTCTATTTTGGGCGTAAACATATAGTATTCATAACAAGTCCAGAACTTCTGTCCAATGACAGCCTAACTTCTGCATAACGCACGGCAGCGTAATGCCCATGATGACCTGAGGAGGGCAGTGATGCACCAGGAGGCGCCCGGTCTGCATAAAAACATGTCTTAGATCGCGGTATTAACCTAGCTGCTGTTTACCACCCGCCAAAAAAAATTAATTAATAAATAGAAAGAAAGAAAGAAAATAACCATGGTAACAACGCTGAAAAACAACTCATTAAATCACATCAGTGGCTCACTAACCAGTTAAAAATGGGAACCCCGTTGGCTGGTTTTATTCTCCACTGTTCATATAAAGTCCAAAAGGTTCTGTCTAACTCAGTTATTGCTTAATGTTGTTTACTGAAATGTTTAAAGGTGCAGAGTCACGTTATATGACTAAAGACCAAAAACCATTCGATCATGATGAAAAAGCTTTTATGCACCAAGCGTTCGTCCTCATAGTGTTTAGTCCTTTTTAACCTAAATAGACTTCCAGCAGTGAATGCGATGAGCTGGAATAAACCCATGTGGCGCCATCTGCTGGCAGCTCTACCAGAGAGCCAGATGGAGATGTTCAATACCAATTTACCCCTTTAGTTTATCCCTTCAGTTTTGTACGAAAAATAAACTATCCTTCTGTTTTCTAACGTTAGACACAATATCAATGACCATCTCCGTCTATGTCTTCTAGTTGGTGTGAGATTACATTATGATGTTACGCTACATACTGTAACATAAAATACATCTGTGTCTATATGGATTTTCTTGGTTAGTTCATCCATTGACTCTAAATCACCTGTATAACGTCTTCCTACAGCCGGCAGACTGCTTTTTTTGCAGCCAAATGCTGCACAGGGAGGCTTTTTTACTGCGTGGCTCCATGGGAGTGGGGAGTACCAACATGGCGGCTGGTGGCCAGTGAATAAACAGTGATGAGTGGGACATCCTCCTGCGATGCCTTGTTTATTTCCATACGGCTGTGGACTCGGCAGATCGTGCTTTCATCGCAGCCAAATGTCTCAGTTAAAACCGTATTACTGCACAACCAGCTTGTTTTAGGTCAGACTCCACTGATTTATGTGGAAATAGTAAAAGATGGTTTATTGTGTGTTTGTGAATTCAGCTTGTAGGCAGGATATCTGGAATTTGATGTTGGGGAGATTTTAGGTTCTATCCTCCTAAGCTTTAGCCTCGTGAGACCATCCTGATCTCGCGAGCTTTCAAGGTTTCACTCGC